AATCATTTGTTCTAATCTAAGCATTTATCATTATATGCAAAAAGATTTCTTGATGAGAATATTATAGACGGTGCGTGTTTTTGACATTAGCATTTTATTTGGATGACTAATCTTGCAGATGTGAAACTGTAATGAATTATTCATGATACTGCTTTCCTCTGAATTTTCAGTTTGCTCTTAATGCTAGTTATTAAACATTTTGTTTTTCCTTATAAAATTTGAGGAAGAAAAGTAAGGGTGCGCATCCCCAAGAGAAAGGCAGCCTTCTTTTTGTTCTCCAAGCCCCGAAGCGGAGGCCTGCGCTCTGAAATCCCGAGGACGGCGCCAGCCCTGCGGTGCCGAGCGCTGTCAGTGAGGCCGATGCTCGTGATTCTCACGCCGAGCTGGGAGCCGCTGGTGACAAACCCAAGGCATGTGCCTGACAGACGGTATCAGCAGGTCAGAAGGGAAAGAAACTTAGGCTGTGGCGACTTTTACCACCAGTGTGAACAACCAGCATTTTTATTGCATTTGAGAATGCTATAATGTCAGTGATCAGTACTGACTACACACATTTTTTTTATTGTCTGTATCCACAGACACGGAATGATGGAATTACAGTTGATGTCAAGGAATGAGTTTCTTTTATGCCTTATTAAAACAAAACAAAACGAAAAGGTTCTCGTTCCTGGCAGCACGCACCCAGGAAGCGCAGTGAGCGGGTCTGCACGGTACCATCCGCGCCAAGGCTCTGGGTGGCTGAGACCTGTGAGCCCTGGGCCCACGAAATGCCTTTAGATTACAAATCTCATTCTCAGGATAAAAAAGTGAAACCAACTCTCAAAAACATCCAAAGTATCAACAAAGTATATATACCATTAACCAAAAGGTACCAAAAATACTCAAAATCCTTAAAAGCACGTTCATCTTTGTACCCTTGGAAATGGAGCTCAGCTGGAATGTGGAAAGGAGAGGAAATATTTAACTTTTTTTTCATGATAAAAAAGCGATTTACGTCCTATTTTGGGTTAAGAATCCAAGGTGCCGGTCGCTGCTGGGAGGAGTGTTAGAGCTGTCCCAGGCTGCGGGCTGGCGGTCACTCACCCTGGACACAGGCCTGGCGTTTCACGGCGCTGCTGGTTCAGCCCAGCCCGGGCAGCGAAACAGGTCTTACAGGACAGACTCGGGGGCAGGGGGCATGGGTCCTCATTCCTGACAGTGCATTTTGCCTGATACGAGGGACTATCCCTCAGGTATGCTTTTCTTTGAAAAAACAACAACAAAAAAGGTAACAAATTGTGTTTACATCTTGGCACCTTGTAAAGTTTTCTTTTCTTTTTTTAATACAAAAAGTTCAATAGCTTCGACACTCCTCATTAATCACCACTCCACTGATGAACTCTGAAAGTGTGACCCTGCAATTTCACCATGCAAAGTATTTACTGCAGCAGGAGGAAACATTTTTTTAAAACATTTTTTTTCTCTTTTCAAATGTACGAGCTTGTTTAAGATACCCAGGAAGGCAGGGGTAGGATGAACACAATGGGCGGGAATGTACCAAAAACAGATTCACACACATGCGCACCACACACCCAAAACCTGTACAAAATGCTCCAATCAATGAGAAGAGGAAAAGAAAGTATGTTAACTATGTTACAATTTAAAAGCAAAGCAAAGAAAAGGTTAGGGAATTTCTCTCTCCCACGTGTCAGGAAATGCCATCGACATTTAAAGCAGGGTAACTGATAAGATACATGTGCAGCATGTTCTGCGATTCCATTACATACAGTAGTTTTCCCCAAAGCTACTTTTTTAAAGTATCATTAATATAAAGCAGTTGCACAAAAAGCAAAGGTGTTTTGACAAACAGGTGTATGCATTTATTCCTTTTTAGGAACAATATCTAAAAAAAGAACGGCCCTCCTCCCTCCCCCAAAAAAGACAAAGGTTCACACAGACACAGCGGGATATGTACAACACGGCAGCCCGTCCTCGGGACGGGCGGGGAGCCCGGGTACAGTCAGGACAGGGTCGTGGGGACGGCTGCTCGCTGGGAAGCCTGAGAGTTCTTTCAGCTGGTTCTTCTGCAGGCTGGGGCGCCTGCAAAGATACGTGAAATCTAATTTCTCTTTTTCCTTTTGCTACAGTCTTTAGACTAAGCATGCAAGACATACGACTAAGTGCAACCGAGTGAAATGTTTAATTGCAATCATTCCCTAAAGGTCTGGACTGAGGTATGCGCACTAACGGTTTCTCATGCTGTCATCGGACTCATGTCTAGCTACACATGCTGAGGATGAACTAATCTACCAGGTGTGTATCCTCTTTGAACCCACACTAGCCGGCGGCCACTCAGCCCAGGGGCG